GTTCTCCAGAGAAACAGAACCAATGGGATGTGTGTATATGTAGAAAGAGATTTATTTTAAGGGGTTGATTCATGCAATTGTGGAGGCTTGGCAAGCCCAAAATCTGATGGAGGAGGCTAGCAGGCTGGAGACTCAGAAAAGAGTTGTGGTTTTAGTCCAAAGGCAGTCTGCTGGCGAACCAGGAAGAGCCAGTATTATAGATGAAATCCTAAGGCATCTGCTGGTAGAATTCTCCTTGCATGGGGCAGGTAGCCTTTTGCTGTAGTCACACCTTCAATGGATCGGATGACACCTTCTCATATTATTCTGCCTTACTGGAAGTCCACTGACTTAAATCTCATCCATAAACACACTCACAGAAACATCCAGAATAATGTTTGACCAAATATCTGTGCGCAATGGCCCAGCCAAGTTGACACATAAAATTAGCCATCATAATGGGTTTATTTCATTTTATTCTGTCTATTTCATTTTTGTTTTCAGGTTTGGTTCAATTCAATTCAACAAGTGTTTCACCTGCCCAATAATTGCAGTACACTGTAATTCAGTGAGGGGAAGTTATAAAGATTTAATTGTGAAAGAGTTTGTGGTTTATTTATTTCTTCATTTTGTAAAGCCTCTCAGTGTAGTTTAATTTTAGACGGAAACATTTACTAAGATTTTGGTTTAGGGATGCATCTGTGGTTGGGGGCTGGGAGTTGGAGAGGATCCTGGCTTTGCCGCAGCAGTGTTCACTCTGGGAAACTATCATGCCAGCAGATGGCTGACAGTGGGAAACATCACAGGTGATGCCTTGGGGGTGGTGGAAGAGGTGTGAGGGAGCACTAGGGGAGGTGAGTGGGGAAACTGGGAAGATATCAATCCTAGGGACTGACCCTTTGCTCCAGCTTGGGACTTATCTTGGCCCTGGGAAGTAAAGGCCTTTGGACTAGAACTAAGGGAGGTGTGTGTGTGTGTGTGTGTGTGTGTGTGTGTGTGTGTGTGTTTTCCCCCCATTTAACTCTAAGACCAGGGGACCACTTTAATTTCCAGGTGAAAAAAAATGTTAAGAATGGGTTAAATAAGAGTGTAGTGGCTCAATGGTGATTCCGACCCCACTAAAAGGGTATGTCCATGTCAATTCCTGGAATCTGTGAATATGACTTTATTGGAAAAGGGTCTTTGCAGATGTACTTAAGTTAAAGATCTTGAGATGAGATCATTCTGGATTATCGGGGTGGGCCCCGAATCCAATGACAAATGAATGCCCTCATCCTATATAATAAAAGGGTAATATGCAAATCGACCAAACCGCGGAACGACCGGTTGCTATGATGGGCACTGACCACCAAGGGGCAGAGCCTCAACACAGGAGCTGCCCGCTGGTGGTCAGTGTGCTCCTACAGGGGGAGTGCAGCTCAGCCACAAGCTGGGCTGATGGCTGGTGAGCGCAGCGGCACACCTCCACAGCAGCACTAAGGCTGTCCGACCGACGGCTTAGGAGTGAGCTTAAGCCATCAGTCAAACGTCCCCGAAGGGGGTCTCGGACTGTGCAAGGGCTCAGGCTGGGCTGAGGGACTCCCTCCCCAGTGTACAAATATCGTGCACTGGGCCTCTAGTAAGAGATACACAGAGAAGGTGTGAAGAGGGAGGCTGAGACTAGAGTGATGAGACCACAAGCCCTGGAACACCTGTGCCACCAAATGTGGGGAGAAACAAAGATTGTCCCTTAGGGCCCCTGAAAGAAGGGCAGCCCTGCAGGATTTCAGACTTCTGGCCTCCAGAACTGTGAGAGAATACCTTTTGTTGTTTTAAATCACTATGTTTGTGGTAGTGTGTTATTGTTGGGGTCTAGCCCCAGCAGGTCCAGGGGTTCCCATAGGTGTGGACGGAGGCAGCGTTCAGTTGACCAGCATGGTTGGGTTCTCTCGCCTGGTTCTATCCAGGATCTCCAGTCAAGTTCTGTCCAGGTTCTCTTGCCATGTTCTCTCGCCAGTTTCTCCAGCCAGGTTCTCTCTGTTTAATCTTTTATGAGAATGTTTTCATGTCCTAACTGTATAACTAAAATTTTAATTAATAATTAAATCAAAAAAAGTTATATAGTCATATTGCATAAAACTTGGGGGGAAATAGGCCTGATGAGATAACTCAACTCCTGATTGTGTTTTAGTGTATATGCAGTTCCTTTTCTTAAATACTTTATCTCTTTTATTGACTTATAAAGTTCCTCCAAGACATACACTTTTGGAACATCTTCCAACCAGAATGAGACGGTTTCCTAAATGTCCATTATAATGTAAAAAAAAATCAGTTGTTTTACCTATAAAAATTGTGTATTAAAAATATTCACCCCTCTATATCAAAATAAAAAGCTTCTGCACAGCAAAAGAAACCATCAACAAAACAACAAGAAAGCCCACTGCATGGAAGAACATATTTGCCAATGTTATCACTCAGAAAGCCAAGAGACATATGAAAACATGCTCAAAGTCACTAATCATCCGAGAGATGCAAATCAAAACAACAATGAGGTACCATCTCACACCTGTCAGAATGGCTATCATCAACAAATCAACAAACGACAAGTGCTGGAGAGGATGTGGAGAAAAAGGAACACTTGTGCACTGCTGGTGGGAATGCAGACTGGTGCAGCCACTATGGAAGACAGTATGGAGTTTCCTCAAAAAACAAAACATGGAACTCCCATTTGACCCTGTGATCCCACTTCTAGGAATATATCCCAAGAAACCAGAAACACCAATCAGAAAGGATCTATGCACCCCTATGTTCATAGCAGCACAATTCACCATAGCTAAGATTTGGAAACAGCCTAAGTGCCCATCAGTAGATGAATGGATTAGAAAACTGTGGTACATCTACACGATGGAATACTATGCTGCTGTAAAAAAGAAGGAACTCTTACCATTTGCAACAGCATGGATGGAACTGGAGAGCATTATGCTAAGTGAAATAAGCCAGTCAATGAAGGAAAAATACCACATGATCTCACTCATTTATGGATAATAAAGACCATTATAAACTTAAAAAAAAATATTCACCCTATCTGTGGTCCAATGTGCTCCTCCAATGAAAGTCAACGTTATTGTGAATAATCCTCCAGCTCCATGTGCACCGATGCTATTGCTGACTAAGACGGCAGTTACACATGAACCCAAAATAAGGCCTGCTCTCTTCATTGTAAGATTTGTCTAGAATTATATAAATTTTTATAAATTATTTACATTAAACATATAATACAACATTTACATTCTCTATCATTCATTATTGACCTTTTGATACTATAATATGTTATATTAAATAATGTATAAAATTTTGGCTTTCTTCCTCACCAAATATTTTAGTAGACTTGACAATAAGTGACAAAATTTATAATTATTAAGTTTCATCTTCTGCCACATGTTGGTAATGCCAGTAAAATGGTTAAAATATTTTAACTGTAAGTGACAAAGGAAAGAAGAGAGCAATATATCCTGTAGTTTTATATAACATATCCAACGGATTCTTAAAAATAAATTTCTGAAAATCTCATTAGCTATGACAATTGTTAGAGGCAAATCAAAATGGACATTACAGAAATACAAGAGTAATGGCACATTCTTTTTTTTTTTTGGCACATTCTTTAGGGCAGGTAAGAATTGAGTTTAATAGTGTTGCCTCAGTCAAAGAGAGTGGGAGTAAATTTAACTCAGAAAATATAAGGAGGTAAATGGGAATCTATCTCTCCTAAAATGTTCAAAGGAAAGTGTGAGTTAAGAAAGATTAGAAAAAGTTGTCAGAAATCAGTAGGCAATTTAGTGAAGAAAGGGGTGGGGTGGAATGGAAATGGTATTCTGATTTAATTATATATATTTTTTAAAAGTATCCATTGCAAAGTATTATGCCAGGGGTCCTCAAACTACGGCCTGTGGGCCACATGCAAATACAAATATTGTATTTGTTCCCATTTTGTTTTTTTACTTCAAAATAAGATATGTGCAGTGTGCATAGGAATTTGTTCATAGTTTTTTTTTAAACTATAGTCCGGCCCTCCAACGGTCTGAGGGACAGTGAACTGGCCCCCTGTTTTAAAAGTTTGAGGACCCCTGTATTATGCATTAGGAAGCTTAATTTTAAAACCAAAAGCATAGTAAAAAGATATATTATCTCTGTCACAGCAGAACAGGTTTCAAAAAATATATTTTTAAAGGTTTTTAGTCAGTAAGTACATCATCCTTTATAAAAGGTGTATATATATTTTTTTCTGTCAACACCTTCATTACATTTATAAATACAAGATTTACACAGCATTCCATCAAAAAAAATTTTCCCTAATATTCCTTATTTGCCAAGTCCAGAAGCAAAGACTTTAGCCAAGGCCATTGACTCCTATCAATCAGAACTGTGCTCAGTTTAAAGCAAAGTAGGCAATGGAGGCTACACTTTTGGGGAAGGACAATAAATATTAAATGTAATATTTCATGGATATTCTAAAAGTTCAAATTTTGCAAAAAAATAACCAATACTATACTTCTAAAGGTTGACTAATTTTTTATTTACCTGATCTTCACTTGGAAAATATCGAAGACAAATTCCCCAAAATGTTCCTAGTAGCACACCCAAAATTACATCCCGAAAAGAATTTAAGAGATCATGAAGTATGCCACCTATAAGGGCACACATAAGGAAAAATGATCATAGAGAAATATTTTTACATACCCAACACATCAGAAAATCAAACGTAGGTGATTTATGAAGAAAGGTATGTATTTTATAGAACAAATATAGAAAAATGAATATTTAATATTAACAAATATAAAAAAATGTATGCAGATCTATTTGATACATTAGATGTGTACTCTTAAATAATTTAGTACAAACAATTCAGAAATGTTTATTGAATAAATAGGCCGGAAAACAAAGAACTAATACACTACAATGTGCTCCCCTTACACACCGTGACTACAAGATCAAGTGAGGTAGAAGAATGGACAGAGATTGACAAAGAAGCACCTCCGGCACCTAGCACAAGGCTGGTAATATTTCTTTTCTGATGTATGATTATGACAAAGAAAGAAATTATTTAAATATAAAAAGAACAACCTGGCTGGTGTGGCTCAGTGGTTGAACATTGACCTATGAACCAGGAGGTCACAGTTCAATTCCCAGTCCGGGCACATGTCCAGGTTGGAGGTTTGATCCCCAGTGTGGGCATGCAGGAGGCAGCTGATCAATGATTCTCTTTCATCATTAATGTTTCTATCTCTCTCTCCCTCTCCCTTCCTCTCTGAAATCAATAAAAAATAAATATCAAGAGAACAATATAACAGTAACAACATAAAAAAAGATTTATTCTAGGGTCAATCCTGGGACTATTCAAAGGTCAACTGAGTCATCAATATATTTTATGCAACCACACCTATATAGAATAGTACTTAAAAGTGTGGGTCTGGGGTCAAACAGTCAGATTTATATCTTGGCTACCCTACTTAATGGATTTGTGACTTTGAGCAATTTATTTATTTATTTATTTATTTATTTATTTATTTATTTATTTAAATCCTCACCTGA